TTATTATTATTATTATTATTATTATTATTATTATTATTATTATTATTATTATTATTATTATTATTATTATTATTATTATTATTGGGATCAGTAAGAATATTGCAATCAATTATTCGACTTATTCTACTCATTAACATTTTAGTATTTATATCATACTTTAATATTTAAAACATCTTCATTTTAAAATAATTTATTCCATGCAGGTTTTAAATACAAGTTTTTTATATAAAATAAATATTTTATTGTTTATACTTTTATCTATTTTCAATCGAAAAGAATTGATAGTTATAAAACCAATCATCATAATTATGACTTTTTTTTTTGCTTTGTTAAATGGTTTAAAAACTATACATAACTTAATTACCAATTTAAATTATTATTACATCCAAAAATATAGAACATATTTTAATTCCTAAACTAATTAGTCTTAAGTTAGCTAATTATTACTGCTATAATAAGTGCACATTGTGGCAAAAATATTATTGTTAGAATTTATTGTTAGAAAAAAAAAATAAACAAATTAGAAAAAAAAATTTTGTTTATATTTCAACTTTTTATGGTATATTTTTCAATTCTTTTTGTTAGTTTTAAAATTTAAATCGAATAAATTCACATCCAATTTTTAATACTTTTCCATTTGGATTATTACTTTGAATGCAGCAAATATTAACAGAAAAATTGACGAAGGAAAATAAAAAAAAAAAAGAAAAGTTTGTTTAACGTATTTAACTTTTAAAAGATGTTTGGCTGAGGATACTATTTATACCATTTGATTATATACTGTCACAAAATGTCACCCATTTTTTTTACACCTAACTCAAACAACAACTTTTTCAAACTTATTAAACTTAATCATTTATTTCCTCATACATAGTTTCATTCGTTTTTATAGCTTAAATTAAAAATTAAAAAATACAAAAAACTCCAAATTCAGGAATATCTCAATTACATCAGATTATTATTATCACTTTTTTTTTTATTATCAATTTAATTAACGATTTCATTTTTTTTAATTCTGTAAATTTATTTTAATTTTATTCATTTCATTACAATGATCTTTCCTTGTATTATATAAGTTAAAGAAGTATTTCTATTCCTTCCCTTAATTTCTTTTCTTTTCTTTTTTTTTTCTTTTTACTTTTTTGTTTCCTTAACAAAGAAAAAATTTCATTCAATTGCTCATTTAATTGTGTTGGAAATTGTTCAAAAATTAAAGAACAGAAAATGAGATTTTTTAAAAATTTTTTGTTTATTTAATTGAAAATTGCTTTTGAAATGTCCCTTTTTTTTTATTATTATTAGTTAAAATTATTTATACTACAAATAGTTTGTTTGTTTTATTTTATAATTAAGCTTTATTAGCTCAAAATAAAAAAAAAAAATAGTGACAATAAAAAATTGATGAAAATTTGAAGGAAGCCGAAATTAATTGCATTTTATACATTGATAAATTTATGAATTTATTATGCAAATTATCAGTAAATGACAAAAATATATTTGTAAAATTTTGAAAAAAAAAAACAAAAAAAAATCATTGTCTAAACTAATGCTACAATTCATTAATTTTATTAATTAGAAATGGGAAAAATTGTTTAAAAAATATTTAATTAATATTTAAAAACTATGAATGATTCAAATAATACAATGTAAATGATTGAAATATTATTAATTATTATAATACTGTGATGCAAGATTTTCAGGAAAAAAATTGTTCAAATTATTTGAAAATTAATTCAAATTAATTTAATTATAATAAAATTGTGCAAAAAAATAAAAATCATTTAAATTATTTAAAAATTTTTAAAAGCAACAGCAAAATGAAAACTATTTTGCTCAAATATATTCGTGTCATAAAAGTTTATCAGTTTTTTCTTTTTTTTGCTACAAATTATAATTTTTTAGGATTGCTAATCGTTCAGAAATTAATGATCACATTTCATAAAATTTTGTCATTATTCTTAAAGATGTGATAAAAATGATAAAAATGACAAATGACTCATTGCCAAGATTGAATGTAAATTATAAATGTATTAGCAAAGAAAAAAAAAAAAGAAGAAAAAAATAGTTAAAAAGTTTTCTGCTCTCTTCAACAATTGCATATAATTGTGTGGAAATGTTCTCGATGAAAATTTGTGAACGAAATTTTCAACAAATTTTCAAAAAATTTTCAACAAACTTTTTTTTTTATTTTGTCAAACCATTTTTTTTTCGCTTTTTTCTTATTAAAATTGTGTTATTATTTTAATTAAAATTAAATTTCATATTTACATATCTTTCTTTTCTTCCAATTTATATTTATTGCATGATTTTTACCAATTTTTTTTACTTTGTAAAAATTTTAACTTTAATTGAAATTAAATTTCAAAACGGAATTTTTTTTACAATTTAAATTTGAAAAAAGTATGTAAAATTGAATAATAAAAGTTTTAAGCATTCTTATTTTATGTCTTCCAAAAAAAAAAAACATATACAATAATTTTTGTAATTGAATAATGATATCAAAGCCTATCTTTTAGTGTTTCTTTTTTTTTTCAATCTTTAAAAAATATACTTTTATTTATTTTTCACATTGCTAACATTCCATAATATTATGAGAAAAGTTTCTTTTTTTTTCTTTTTGTTTAATATTGCAACAAACTTTTTGAAAAAAAAAATTATTTGTTAATTTTGATGTTCTTCATAAATGTTTAAATTTAAAATTTTTACGTTTAATTTTTTTCAACATTTTTTTTTTGTGCGTTTGAATTTCTCGATAGTAATACTAATAATAGTAATGTTGAAGTGATATTGTTAATCAAATAGTATAATTAACAATTTTGAAATCTTTCGATAGCAACAATGCTGTTGATAGTAGTAGTAAAATGATATTATTAATTGTGGAAATCACTGAAAAAAATCTTTTTCCAAAATAATTAAAGGTTTGAATTTCTCGATAGAAGCGATAGTAATAATAATAGAATTAATGCTAGTAATAATAATAATAATAATAATAACAATAATAATAATAATATTAGTAATAATAATAATAATAATAATAATAATAATAATAATAATAATAATAATAATAATAATAATAATAATAATAATAATAATAATAATAATAATAATAATAATAATAATAATAATAATAATAATAATAATAATAATAATAATAATAATAATAATAATAATAATAATAATAATAATAATAATAATAATAATAATAATAATAATAATAATAATAAT